ATTATTGGTCTATTGTTGGACAGTTGGATCAAATAACTATCAAACGCAAACCATTAAAAACACTAACGCACCTAAATGGGACGAATTTGTCGATGTAATCGATTCATTAATGATATCACTTTCTAATCTAGAATATTCTATACCACATCCATACATACCCGCATAAGAATTACTAAAATAATTTCATTATTTTATATTTCTTTTTACTGTGTTTCAGTTCATCGTTCATATTCGATATGGACAGAGCCTTATCGTTAATGTGCAAGATCATGACACAGTGACAGAAGATGATTTCCTTGGAACGTAAGTCCCTTCCCTTTGAATTGATTCAGTCTGTCGTAGAAAGACTCCATGGTGACATCTTTACCAGTTTAGCCTTACTTACTGCAGATTGTCCCCATTATTTACCATTTACTATCATGCCGGTTCAAAGATTACTCCTCTACATTAAGATACCAGAGGAGTGTTCTACCATGATCCATGATTATACATCCGTAGACTTTATTTTATGGCTACTGTCATGACTATACTGTAAAATGAATTTAGGACTAAAGCTAGAAATGCAGTCAACATGACGGAGACGCAAAGAATAGTATCAACCTCTGATGGGTAGGAAAGAGGGAAAGAACACGGACTTTTCAACAGTAGTCCTTCTTCTCCCATGTCCTACTTGCTGCATAATGATGATATTGGTAGTATTATGCCTTAAATCACCAAAATTATAGAGATAGATTCACGATGAAGGAAGGAGTTTATTAACGGGCTAATTACTGATCGTTACTCCGGCAGTTAGCGGCACAGAATGAATACGTAATAATAGGGATAAGGCTTAGTTATGCCAGGGGCTTCTGTACTAAAAATTCTCCCTCAAAAAGCCGTAACTAAAAAAATTTCCCTTCTACTCAAACTACAACGAAGAATTCTCCCTCAAAGGCCGCAGCTAATTTTCAGTCACGGCTTTCGAGAAAGAATTCTTCGTTGAGTAGTTTCTGCCTCCATACGGACGTAATAGAAAGGCTTTCGATGCAGTTGTCTGTGATTGGCTATCATGCTCAGTACAAGATAGTTACAAACGTACTACGACACTCGATCTCCCTCAAGTCACTCAACCGATTCTTTTTTATATTCACTGGCCTCTTTGAAATAGTTTTAGCACTATTTCTCCTCCACCACCTTCCAGGTTATACTTGCTGCATTGATGATACTTGTCCGCTAAAATCATTGAGCAAATTTTTATTTTATTCCCTCTCTTTAAAATACTACTAGCATTGTAAGGAAGTAACTTTAGTAGCACTAATATTAATTTCAAGAGGTCAACATTTTGTTGAGAAATTCCTGAAAAGAGGACGATGTGATCAGACGTGACATACTGATTTCGAATGACAGCAGTCGGGTGACCGGTGTCGGCTGACTTTTACGGTTGAATAGGTCGGGTCATCCATGACGGCTGATCCATATAATAATGACTGTTCAGTTCTGACCCTTCAGATTTCAACTTGGATAGTCATTGTTGCCATGGAGCAGCAATTCATAGAATAAGTAAAAATGGAGTCCTGTACAGCGTGTTTAACTTCGTTTTAGAATTTCCAGGTAAAAAATCGACTTCCTTTATTGCAATTAAAATGACTTAATATTATATGTGCTGGTAGATGAAGGTTCAGTAAATATTACTATACCAATAATTCATATTAGCTACATGCTGGTATAAAATCTATAACGTTTTGATATTGATAGTAGCATTTAAATAAAATTCTTATAATCTAAAGCGAATGTAAAAACGCTGTAGAAAGTCAATCAATCATTCAGTAAGACGACATCGATGGAAAATGGAATGAAAGAATCATTTCATCATAAATTCAATACTCAGAATAAAACATGCTGGCCAATGTTGTATCATGATTCATAATGTCAAACTATTCTATCTTCACCTAGAGTCAAGTTAGATGTCAACTTTCTTGCTCAAAAGAAACGAACAAATACAGTGAGTCATTGCAAAGAAATTACTGTCATCGTAGGCTATCACGGATAGTTTACGAACCTTTTTACTGTATAATCTGCAAATTTGAGCTCAAAATGGATGACATTTCATTTCCATCTATTTTGCGATTTATTTTTAATAGTGGTTTCCATTGAAAAATGTCGATAAAGGAGAAGTTCGACTGGATATAGTATGGCTTTCTATTTCTGATAGTGTCGAAGATTTACAGCTGGAAGCTGGCGTAAGTCGATTAATCTGGAAATCGTTCAACTGCTACAGTAACTAGAGTAAAAAGTTGAAGTTACAAGTCGATTAGTCCTAGAATCTCTAGTGTACGAGTATTGACGCGTATTGTGGAATAATTAACACGTAGTGCTACCGCCATGTTAAGATATAGCACTGTAGCTTAGCTGATTACGGTGTTATATATAGATTAAAACCCATACATGATAGGGATATCTGTCAAAAAGCATATAAAAAAGTGTGGAATCGAATAGCGATGTATTGAAACTTTCCGTTATTATCATCTTGAAATATAATAACAGGACTGCAAGGAACCCAAGCAACAATTTCCTCATGCTCTTTTATTGACCAACGTTTTAAACGGCAAATTAGCTACAGTAAGTCAACAATTGTAAAACTAGTTGATGATTTCATTCGAGAGACTACCTGTGCATCATTCCTATCACTTTAGGAACGTCGAACCTACTGTAAAGTTACCGTTGGCAACAGTACATTTACTAGCAAGGTAAGATAACTAAAGTTAACTAAGGCAGTATCACGCATTATACTCTATGTTTATAATTTTAATTTACTGCTTAAGTTAAAACACTTTGATAAACAAGTTCCTTTTATTGAAAATTTTTAAAACAGTCTTATTATTTTTCTATCTATGTCTATTTGCAGCCTACAAAACGAAAAACCAAAGTACCAAGATGGGATGTTCAATATAAATTTCTTATTACCAATCCACAGAAAGAAGAAGCAATCTTCGAGGTCTGTTACGTTATAATAGCGCCATTAGCTACAAATAAGCTACACGTATACAGTAAATTGGCAGTTAGCGCTAGTAATGACTTACAGACATTATACAGCACTGTATATGCGGTAATTAATTACTGCATCATGGTGGAAATAAGCTATTTGTAAAATTTCTTTTTTACCGCCAGATGTTTGAATTTGATTCTAACAATGCTTTGGGAAAAGTTATCGTGCCTCTTTCGGAGCTATTAAAGGATGATGACAAAATGACTTTAGATTCAACCTTCCCATTGCAAGGTGGTGAATCAGATAAAGATGATAGTCTACACCTGGAAATAATCTTACGAGTAGGTGTCTAGTCTAAAAATGATTATTATCAACCTAAATTTTTACATGATCTAATGAAATGTCTCAAAATGAACATAGCAAGGACTTTGATTTTTTTGTTGATTTCATTTCATTACGTAATTTGTTTATTTACTGGGAATTATCTGTATCTATCTCCGTTTATTGACTATTAGACACTTGCACTCTCTTATAATTAATCTAGCTTTCAAGCATGATCTATTTTGGAACTGCAGTACACATCATTACAGTAAATACCAGTCGTAATCGTACAACTAGCCGTATATTTGTAAATAAATTCCATTATGAGTTCTCGCTATAAATCTCAGCATACAAGTTATAACAGTACATTTTTGGAGTTTAAAAAATAAATTAGTCTAATAAATGCAAGCTATTGCACAGTATATACACATCTCAAGTTATTCTGTAGACAATTCTTCCCAAAATCTTAGAATGACTTTACCAGATATCACTGCTTAAGCTCGATTAAAAGCGAAAAGGTGCACGATACAGTAGATTTCCACCGATTTTAACGGTATGCTAGTTCGTCAGTACTACCTTATCATACGAGTATATGGCAATCTAAAACTACATAAAATTACTAACACTATTGTAATATACGTATTTAGCTATACCAAAGACTTGAATTATTTTATCTATATCGCTGTAACACTGAACTGCATTACAATGCTGTACTTGTGCTAGTCAAAAATTCAAACTAATTTTGTTATCAATTAGGTTCTATACTACGAAGGCGAGGATCTTTCTAGTGATGAAGAATTGCCATCTGATTCAGAAAATGATCATGCCGGGGATTTAGCTAAACCCGATGGTTCAGATATTGCACCAAGAGGGAGCGTTCAACTTACTATACAAGAAAGTAGTTCCAATTCGAGTTTACTAGTTTTAGTACATTCTGCTTCGTAAGTAATGAAAAATTTACTTAGAATCTTATATTAACTGATACGTAAATAGTAGAACTAATATTCGAAGTAGAATGATGAAATTACCAACTTCAATTGATACAGTGTAACCTTGAGCATTTCGTATATCGTTATGATTTCCAGAAATCTACCAGCTATGAATCAAAGTGGTAGTATCGACAGTTACGTCAGAGCTTATTTATTACCAGATCGCGGTAAAGACGATAGAAAGCGCACTTCGACAGTCAATAGTGACCAAAATCCAGCTTTTGGAGAAACGTAAGTATTTGCTAAACTTTTCATAAGAATCAAGCTTCTATCAAAATTTTATTCTTGTAAGTTGCATAAACATTCAACCTGCATTTTTATCAATTTAGATTCGAATTTCCTGTTACATACGAGGAAGCTAAATCTCGCACATTAGAAGTTGCCGTTAAATCTGTCACACCAAATAAAACTGTTGGGAGGGTAATTTAAAATGCTTCAATAAACATTCGAATCTTTTACGTAACTCGATGTACACTATAGTACTGCTAGTTTAAAATGGATTGATCCTGATACTTAATGCTGTAAATATCTATAATATATGCCTAAGATACTGAATTCTGTCATAATGCATTTACTACAGGTTCTTATTAATCTTTCGACTGTTAACATTGCCGCTACAACTACAGCATGGTAAGTTTTATCTTTAAATAGCAATAGTAAATGAAATTAACTAGATATGATTCTGTAGCATCGTAGTATGCCATTAATACGTACCCAAAGTTGATCAAATCAACATCGGAATACGAAGGTTTAATCAATCAAATATGCTAACAAATAGGTACGCCTTAAGTCCGCCATGATGACTGATACTGATACCGCTCTAAAGAACACTTACGGATTATTACTTAAAGGCAAAATGAAATGTAGCATTATCTAAATAGCAAACTAGACCTATGCCATCGTAGAAAATTGTTATACAAATTATCAACATTTGTCCTTAATTAATGCTACCTGATATTTACGCTTGACTAATTAGAGATAGGAATATTCAACATTAATTAAATATTAATAGCAAATTTATCAAATAGATATGATAATTGAAGGATTACATTACTCTTAAAATAAGTTAAAGCTATAAATTAGATAGGGATTTATCGTAATTGGCTTATATATTGTAGCTATTACTATGGTGGATGTTGTATCCATTTCCTTGTTTAGGATGTTTACTCTACTTCTAGGACTAATTCAATCATGACCGTACGTTAGCCTAATATTGAAATTTATCTTTCATTTATTGTCGTACTAGTAAAAGCGTTTAATTAGGAAAATAACCGGTGATACGTTGTCAACCCTTACTATCATTAAATCACGTATACCAATTTCATTTATTTTGGTGTTCCATTTCCTTTAACGGTTATTCTCTCTTCTGCCTGTGATGTTATCAGATGTGCTAATCAATTTTATGCGTTACAAAATATCAATAAATAATAATACAACAATGCATTTTTTTGTACATTTCTGTGATTCCCTTATGTTTTCAGTAAACACGTGTTATGAACCTGTTATGATCATTATCATGATTTTCCAAGAATTCTAACAAGTATTTCATACTGTCTGATGATTAAAAATTAATAGCGTAATATTTTTTAATGTGAATACAGATATTGACTGGGAATTAACATAGATGATCCTACCAGTCAAAATTCCACGGACTAATTATACTTTTAAACTTGACGTCATTGTAATCTGCAATATGCTCGTTTAATTAAACTATATATAAGATGATTGTTAGGCATTGATCAGCATAAGGACTAGCAATAGTTTCTATTCCAAATCTTTACTCGAAGTAGAATTTGCTAATCAGGCTGATCAAGAAGGAGAAAATTAGTCAAGATGAATGGTTGCGGTTTTAAATTTATGAAACATTTATTGTTCATCTTTAATTTTATAGTATGGGTAAGTCCTGATTGATTTAGGTCTAATTCGAAATACTTTGCTTAAAATATGACCTTTAATTCGGATTTTAACATCATAATATGCGGGGAAAAATTCCATCTCTAAAAGCACGGGCGTTTCTATCGCTAACGAATTGATTAATTTTATTTTACTTGTTATAAATACTTTCCAAGAATTAGTCGGTAACAGTTGGCGAAGATATTATAGTATTAGCACTGAAAGTGGCCAAAATTTTTTTCGAATATAATTTTGTATCTTTTATATGGAATCGGCTAAAATTCGCTCTGACCACACCAAGATCGTGCTCATTCATGTTATTAGTCATTGTATTCAAAAGTTTTAGCTTTGTAAGCATTTTTCCTAAGTTAATATACGAATTGCTACAGGAAGCTAAAAGATCTAAAAAACTTAAACTAAGTGTAAAATAACCCCTATTTTTCGCTTGATTTATGTACATTTAATTTGATTCGATTATTTGAATATACAGTGCTTTGACATCGCTATTATACAAGATCTTACAGCTGCTATCTAATTGCTATCTGATTGTTCCATTTAGGCATTTTACTTGTAGCTATTCCTCTCAATAATGCCTTTTTGCCTATAACAATCATAGTTTTTGAGGGTTACTGTAAAAGTGAGACTTCATCTGCGGCAGTTAGACATCGTTAGATTAATGTATTGTGCTATATCTATATCACTCGTTGAAAAACAGAGTGTTGAATATTAGACTGTATTGAGATATTTTTGTTGCAATTGCCAACTTATATGCGAAAAATAGTATCCAGTATTGCTATAAAATTTGCTTGTGATATAAGTTTATAATTAATAGGCAATAGAACTTTTTCGTTAGAGATTGATTAGATTAGAAAAATCGCCTATACGGGTCCCTGTATAGTAATACCATTGCTTACTGCTATAGTATTCTACTAATATTAATATTCCAGAGCAGGTGATCATGGTCCAGCACTAGCACTATTAAACAGATGTTTTTAATGATGACAAAAGAAATTATAATTTTATTAAAGTTAACTAACGACACTGTCAGTCCAGTTAATAGCTAAGACCACATTGTAAGAACAGAAGTTGATTGAAACGGCAATCAATCCTGCAATTGTGTAATTTTAAGTGAGATTACTTAGTAATTAATTATATGTAATAACCAGTGAACCTATTTATGACTTCGAAGTAATCCTGAGTGTCTAATATTTGCTACGAAAACTCGACCTCATATTTTTCAGGTTATATCATACACGTACACCACATATGCACAAGTTTTTATCCCATAATTTCTTGAAGAGCATATAAATCATTAGCATTTTATCTCGTACAGGATATACACGCTAATAAGTACTGATTTTATGTTAAATTGCAACCGGTGGCAAAAAGGATTGTTCTTGTAATTATATTTCTTCGTAAATTTAATTCCATAAAATAAAGTTAGTGTAGCTAATATATGCTCAAATCAATCTTTGAGACAATTTGGAAGCTCTTAATTCAGAGGTCACGCATTCGATCCTCCTAATACTACTGTCCTTGTCAATCACATTGCATAAATAAATTCCGCTCAGGATATCGCTAAATTTCTGCTTTATACTGACATAAGTACGTTTAACATAGCAATATTAAACCATAGAGTTATCAGTTTACGTGTCGATTTTTTTATTTTGTTTACAATATAAATTCCATTTTAGCATTTATAACATTTTATAAGTGCTGTAGACAGGTACATATATCAGTGTCTAGATTAAAAATTAAAGTAAAGTATCTAATTGGTTCTAATAAAATTGTTTCCAATAGATATTCGGCGGTGCTATTCTTGGCTTAGCAATATGGCTAAGAGTAGATGGTAACTCATTGGGTGTCTTAGTTGATGAATCATGGTATGTTGCATCATATATCATGATGGGAGTTGGCGGTGTTATTTTCCTGATTGCTTTTATGGGCTGCTTTGGAGCCATTAGAGAATCTACATGTTTACTTGGAATGGTTAGTCTTAAAGTAGATTGTATCATCAATATGAACGCCCTGCAATTTGCTTCTTTTAAGGATCAATTTCTAGTTATGATTGATATTGCATCTATTATATCAACATTAATTATTTCTTTACATACAAAATCGTAATAGCTTCGAATATAATTTTAACTTTTAATGTACAGTATCTGGTAACGTTCTTCAATAAGCACTAAAAATGTCAATTATTTTTTAGTACTTCGCCTTCATGTTGGTTATTTTTATTGCTGAAATTGCTGGTGCAATTTACGCTGGTGTAAATCGTCTAAGGGTAATTCTAAGTATTCCTTAAAGTGATTTTAAGAAATATGTTGGTTTTTACTAGTAAAACATATAGCTCATTTTTCAGTTATTTGCCATAATTTAGTTGCTGCAGTCCTTAGCATTTTATATAGCAAGAATTCAATTAGAATACTCTGTATTTCAGTTTTAAGCTTTTTCTAGTGACTAATGCATGTGCTGCAAGGATACCATTCGCAAATTTCACTTAATTATGACTTCTACTAAAATAATATTGGATAGGTCAAGGAGAATATACATATATATATAGCAAAATGGGTTATCCCTCCAACAGTGTAGTGCTATGTTTTATTCTTAAGTCTTGATTGCATTGACTTTAATGCAAACAATACCGTCGTAGTGAGAAAGATTAATATTTTTAGCTAAGGATTTAACTTTAATAACAGCAATTTGCTTCATTCAATGTAAAAAGTTAATATTTGATTAAAGCTTGCTATAAGTAGATTGCAAAGACGAATACATTGATCATCATTTCAACTATAGTACGATTGATATAAAAAGATGTTATCATCGATATTAGAATGTAGTTAAGTATAGATAGATGTAACTTTATAATTTATTAAATATTATCGCCAATGTTAATGATATCTAGATCGAAGCCGAAGTAAAAACTCGATTGACAGCTGATATTCAAGATAAATATAATCAACAAGGCTTTAATGCAATTACAAGGGCTGTGGATTATGTACAAACTTCCGTAAGTGAAGTCCTCAAAAATTCAGATATAGAAAAATTTTTAATTCATTTTTTTCCCTATCTTATCGATATTTTAAATTATTACAGTTACTACTGTTATATCAAATGCTACTATTTATGTTCGATTAAGATTTTATTTGTTTCGCTATTATACAGTCAAGAATAATTGTATATTACTCATATTTGGCTAATGGATTTATATATGCGATACACTAATTTTAACTTACGTATAGTTGAAATGTTGTGGAGTAACCACACCAGATAATTGGAGAGACAGCAAATTTGCTGCATCGATAACTGCTGCAACTATCAATGGGCCGCCAGTACCAGACAGTTGCTGTATATCTTCTCAAAAAAATGATTGCGGTATTCAACCTCGACCAACACCACAAGCATACAATGAAACCATATATCAACAGGTAGATCGAAAGTGTATATATTGAATCAATATAATTAATGGACCTCTCTAATACCGGATAGCATCATAATTGTTGTATTCATTTTCTTCCTATTGGTATCGCAATCGTCTTATTTTATGGATTAAGTAGACTATTTATTGTCGAATAAAGTAGAGTTTTTATATATAATTATTCAGTTAAAATAAGACCAATTAATGTCCATAAACTATTTAATAAATCTTACTGTTAAGAGAAATAGAATTTGAATTAGTTGGGATTACTACAGATATTAAAAATAGTACTTCAACGTTGTTTAGCTAGATTAATTGCTTAATGAATAAATTAACATCACATAATAACGTCAGAGGCTGAGTTCTACTTGAAGTAAATAAGTGGAACACGCAAGAAACATTTTTCATAAAATACATGAACGAGTAGCATGGTAGTGCAAGACCAATACAACTGTAACGTATTTGCTGCAGTCAAACTTTTGGATTGCTTTTTATTGATGTAATTTCTTGATTTAAAATAGGGATGCTACCCACGAATAGAACAAATTATCGATCAAAGTTTAACAATTGCTATTATTATTTTGTCCTCTGTTGCCGTGATTGAGGTAAAAAAAAATACGATGCAAAGTTTTATATAGGGACGTTTGTTGCATCTACATGTACTTTACAAATGATTCAATACTATACTACTTTTACAATTTTGTACAAAAGTAATGTTTTGATTGAAAATTGTAGACTATCTCAAATGTTAAGAATGATTCATTCTTACTTGAGTCAAAGTTATCGAGGTACCTTGACTAAAATCGTTTGTATGCATTATTCTAGGTTCTTGGCATGACATTATCCATGGCGTTGCTAGTTGCAATTCGCCGCGGTCATGGAACAGTTTAAGCAGTTACTTTTGAAAGGGATAATAAATCAGTCATTTACTTGCTATAGCTATTATTAGTATCAGTTCTATACAATTTCGCGCAAAGATGTTGTGCAAATACATGTAGGTAATTTTAGGTATTACTTTCTCTACTCTAGCGTTTCGTGATATGCAATCGTCAACCTAATCAGTCTACTGAAGTTTAATAAAATTACAGAAATTACCTTGGTTAGAATTATAAGAAATGCAATCAACGGTTGTGCATGCTGCAAAATGAATCATGTCATTGTTGATGTAGCTTAATTGAATGAAAGGGTTCCATCACAGCTGTGCAGTAGTGGATTGGCAATAATTCTTGTTTCATATACAACTGGTTAAAGTATGTTTTCCTGATTAAATGAATTTTCTGTTTCTTGAATCAGCGCTTTATTGTACTATTTATGCCAGAAAAAAAAATGGTGTAGGGATATTGCTGTCATTTGCAAAACTGTTCATCCATAATATTGAACATGGTAATGCGATATTTTATGTAGATTATTGCGTATTTTTATTTAGTGCTAAAGAATAGAGATAAAAAACAAAAGGTATTGCCTTTTAACATTTCCTATCGATCGGAAAATAGATGATATCATTGGTATTTGTAATAGGTGTAATATTGATCACTACCACATCCAGTACTATGTGATGATGTAGTGCAATATAATCCGATTCATG